ACTTCGTCTCCGCCGTGTGGAATACTGCAAGAAGTCAACGTACGCCAGCGAATGCTGTAACACGTACTGTCAGGTATCGCTGTGATGTTGCCGTTCTTGAGCTGCATAACGAGCTGTGTTCCAGCTTCGAACCGCGGCCAGTTCGCTACAAATGCTCAATTCAATACGGGTGCTCACTATCGAACCACGCACCTCCCGGGTTCATGTCATGTACGAAGTTGATCCACATCGTCTGGAACGTTCTAACGAACTCTGTCTCGCTCGGGTCCGTCACCTTCCCGAACAAGAAGTCCAACTCGCTCGCATGTGTCACGCCGCGCATGGGATCGGCGCCAGGTTCGAACTCCATGAAGAGGTACGCAAACAGCGGTCCCATATCCTCCACAGTCGCGGCCTTATCGAAGAAGAGCCGACGTGGACCGAGGAACATCTCGTCGGTGTAGAACGCCGCGCCGCGGTCGAAGAGTGAGGAGTTACTGTTGAACGGCGCTCCGTTCTCCGGGTCGTCTTTCGGGTACATGCTCTGGATGGTGCGTACTGTTGATCCGCTGATTGTACGACCATCGAGGACAAGTCCGCGGATGTACGCCTCGAAGTTGGCGTTCTCGATTTGAAGCGAGGTTGTCGGAGGTATGGCGGTGGGAAGGAGAGTGTCGGCGAAAGATGTGCCTTCGTTGTTCTGCACCACCGTTACGGTGGAGGTCAGAAACATAACGGATGGAGAGAAGGGGAGGAAGACTGGACTGACGTTCGTGCCGGCCAGGTATGGCACTCTGAGAAAACGCCCAGACGCAACACGTGCGGATGGACGTTCGGGCATGAAGCTATTCGGTCCCCCAACAGCCGCTTCCCATAGTTGCCCATTGAGAACGGTCTTTATCATGGACTGGGTGATATTCTCCAGAACCTTCAGTGCTGGGTTAGCCCGGAACTGAAGTGAGAGTAGTTCAAATAGTAACGCACAAACTCGTCGACTGCACGCAAGCAGGCGAGAGCCTTCGATCCAAATGTACAGCCGGTGAGATTGAGAAGCTGGGCGAACGGCTTCCCGGGTTCGTCGTACTGACGCGCAAAGGGTGCGCTTTTACTACCACGGCGGTGAGTGTCAGAGCCATCGCGGCGAATGCGAGTGTGGAGGCACGAAGACGTACAATGGTCCAACAGACGAGTCCGCCATGGCCGCGCGGAATAGCTGTCTTCCGTCGGGAGGAGGAAACATAACGTGGGCCTGAACGGTCCCCGCGCCAGCACTTTGTCCCCAGATCGTGATCTACAAGTAGAATTGGGCTCAGTACTATACCCAACTCATCTTCAGCAGTCTGCATGGAACTGACCTTGGAGGGATCGCCGCCGAAGGCTGCAATGTTTTGGTGAAGAAACTCAAGCGCCATTCTACTATCGAGCAAGCCCACGTTGAGGTCTTCATCTGGGACGAGGGAGCTGGCTAACTGCAACCCGCGTCATGGGAAATAGTGTACGGTGAGGAATCGGACTCACGAAGCCGAATGTATTGAGACGATAGTTGCTGTCTGCGTCAGCAGAGCAAATGGGGTCGAAAGTTGCGATGTGCATACATCGAGACGTAGATGATCGGTTTCCCGATCTCACTGCTCCGCTGGACCATCGCTGAGGATAAGGTCAGAGAACCGCATGCTGCAGCAGGCACGCAAAGCTCACCCGTGGGATCGATCTCTGAACCCGCTCTGCAACGAAGAGACGGTTGTTAACGCAAGACGAAGAGTGCACAGAAAGCGTACCCATGCCGAAAGGCTCCGCCCTTCCGAAGTTCAGTTGAGACATCCCACGTCCCTGTCGCGTGCAATTGCACGCCGCGGTACTCACGTGGATCCAGAAGAGAACGGGAAGTTTGGCGCTTGCATTGACTCCAGCGGGCCGGTAGACCTGTAGCTCATTTATAGCCTGCGTCACAAGTGCACGAGATAAGATTAGCCTCACGTTGAGGAAGAGGCAGTCCTCAGACACGGGCGCGTTGAGACCCGGATCTGCCTGCAATGCATATCACGGTCAGCGGCATCGAGCTGACGTCGGATGTCTCACATCCTGTTGGCACGCATTGCCGAATTTATCGGCCACGACGAGTGGTACGCGACGCGGCGCTTGTGGGAGGGCGACGGGTGCGCGGAACCTCAGCACACCGGTGGGCGGCGTGGCATAGCGTAAACCCAACCATGACTCAATACGCGTAGAGACGTTGAGTGTTCCCCGGAAGGCCCCACTGGTGAGTCGGACGTCGAGTGGGGACGCAGCGCACGCAGCGAGGGCAAAGAAGACGAGGGACGCGAGCATGTCAATGAGTGCACGGGGAAGAGACCCCGATAGTAGATTATGTACTTATGCATCGTGTGAGGGTGTTCGTGGCTGCGAAGGATTCGGAACGGAGGACCGTGAAACGGCGTTCTGAACTACAGTAATACGTGTCGATTCTGGACGCGTCGGATGTCAGCATCCGAAAAGGCGCTGCTCGTAGTGAATACCGTCGAATGTGCATGTGGAGACACATTGCAGCTCAATATCACTGCTGAGATGATGATGTTGGTCGTCCCCGGTGGTGGCAATTCAGTTCGGTCGGGACGCGGGAGCGATTAGCTAGTCCACCTGAGAGCACCGTGGAATAAGTACGTAAATTAGGTGCACATGCACCGTCCAAAAAAGAGAGACCAGCAGTGGCGTACGCTCTCTCTCGCAAGTTACGGCTACTGTCGCCTAGGCCCGGACGATCGCCTCTTCGCGGTGACCATGTTTCAAGAGCTGCATCGCCTGTGCACAATCAACGACACATTCAACCGCCCGTACACAAAACATCTCGGTACTTTTTCGCTTACCTGCCCACGGAATCATTGGTGCTTCTTGACCTGACCCCCAAGGTGGGAAACTTCGTCGAGGGCGACTTCACGCGCAGCGTAGGGGGGAGACCCATACGTGCCGGAACTGGAGTGCCGTGTACGACGCGTTACATGATACTGGTAAATGTGTAATGCAACCTAGTATCAGTCTCAGTAGTAGTACCCAGTATTCTTAAGGCTTCCACCAGCTGCGACGTTTGAAGCCTTGAACATCATCGGGAAAAGGCTCTGCGATCGCCAGAGCATGCACCCACGGCCATATCCCACTGGCATGCCATTGCGCGAATGACCTGCGCCAGACAATTCTGTGCAGGGCGTCGAGTCCAACTCAAGTAACGTCGGTCCACGCATGTTATATCAGCCTCATGCCGAGCAAAAGTACAAGGCGAACATGAGAGTAGTGAAGCAGGGCGAGGAGCATATGCGAGCATGTAGAATAGTAGCGGCTCGCCAGTGTGTACATGACCGAAGTTGGCCTGCGTTACTCGCCGCAGAGCTCGAGAAAAGAATCTCGGACCCTGTGCAGCGCTGGTGCCTGGTTGTTACCCGAAGCTAGTCGTAGGTGCGCGTGTACTCCCACCTTATGCGATTACCTACACCGCCGAACAGACCGAGCGGCGAATGCAGGTGCATGGAAGAACGAACGCCGTGACCGGAACCCGTGAAAGCTCCGGAACGGAATTTGTGAAAGCTCCCGCTGTTTCTTCTCTTCCCGACGGCCGGTTGTGTGTTAACTTCTATCTATGCTTCGCTCGCATCCTCGGCGTTTCGTACTCTACCCGGGAGTTATTTTCCATGGGAACTGCCTACTGTTGACGACTTGCGGCGGCCTGGCCGTAGAAGTAACATCGCGTTCTGTTTTATTACTCGCCCAGATCGCGTCTGTACTACGCCATGTCCGCCAGTGTCTTGTCCGCAGGAGCGCACGCCTTTACCACAGCGCACGGGGCCACCATCACTTACTTCGTCACCGGAAACGGTCCGCTTGTAGTCTTGAACGTCGCGCCGGGTTGGGGGCCCGCGTCCGTGCTCTACCAGAACACATTTGGATTTCTCGAACACGACTTCACATTCGTGCACATTGAGCCCCGCGGCACACGCGGCTCATCGTTTCCGCCGGACCTCCGCGAGATGAGTAGCTGGCGCATGGCGGAAGACGTCGAGGCGGTACGCCAGCATCTTGGCATCGACGTGCTCGAGGGTGTTATGGGTCATTCCAACGGAGGTACCATCGCGCTATGGCACGCGATTCGGTTCTCTGGCACTACGAAGACGCTTGTCCTTGTCGACGCCAAGGCGCGCGGACTCGCATCCATCTCGGACCCAGTGACGCGCGAGATGCTCGCTGCGCGACCGGACAGGGATGCCGTCGACGCTTTCGCACGTTGGAATCCGGACAATTACGACACTGACGACGAGATGGCGGCCCTGATGGGGTCGTTCCTCCAACTCTACCTCGCTCGTCCTGAGCGGGACCTCGCCGCCCTCCAGGCCGGCTTCGACACCAAGCCACAGATCGCGTGCGCGAAGCACCAGTTCGCGGCAGAGTACCAACACGACAATCAGGTACCTCACCTAGAGAATGTCACCGCTCGGACACTCCTCATCGTGGGCAGGCAGGACTTCATCTGCCCCGTCGTCGTGAGCGAGTTTGCCGCTCAGAGGATCCCTGACGCCAGTCTCGTGGTCATCGAGGATTCAGGCCATATGCCCTTTCTCGAGCAGCCGACACAGTTTGGAGACGCTGTGCGGAAGTTCTACAATATCGCCGCTCGCTGACGAACGATAGAGCTCAGTCTATGTATGTGCTTTGAAAATGGAATGCCGTCTACTGTCATGTTCACGTATCAGTGCTCTGGTTTCATGTCAGTAAAAACACTAAGCTATTCAGTCCGCCGCCATTGGCTACCTGAGATGGTGTTTTCAAAGGCGAGGTTTCATCGAGGCAGGAAACAGGATATGCAGACGATGGCCTCCTGTTTCCCCGGAACAGTTTGAATGTGCAAGTCATGTCTACTGTATGTAAATTTCGGGACGAGCAATAGTACGAAGAAAGTCCTTTCGTACTATCGTCACGGCGGCAGGTGTACTAACCATCCCTGCCGATGTGTATGTGCAAGAAGCTGTGGCAAATATGACTCGATGGCGTAGTTGGTTATCGCATCTGTCTAACACACAGAAGGTCTCAGGTTCGAACCCTGGTCGAGTCATATTTTGTTCGTTCCTGCACCTCTCCTCGTTATGTTCAGCTGTTACTTCTCGCAATCACGAGCTCATGACGTCGGGGCTGACGAATGGTTTCCAAGTCCGATGTCTCTCCTTATTCCCCTACTCTTTCATCGATCTACTGGTATTTTGCGGGTGACAGACTTTCCTGCTTGAGCCGTCTCGATCTGAGTCTGTCTTCTGGGTTTCTGCGGCACCTCGCACTCAGTTGCAGCTTCTTCTCTCTCAGTCCTGGTCTGTGGGTTCCATGCTGACTGTCCTGCTGCATCATGTGCATGATGGAGCCGTGGTCCGAAATGTTGCATTATCGACGACATTCCATCAGTGCGTTGTGCCTCTTTCCAGCCCACAAGATAGCCGCCACTTTCGCTCTCACCAGTCGGCCACGCAAACCGTGAAACTGTACTTCGCCCGCACTTGAACTCCCGACGCTCGTAATTCCCGCGTCCTCATCTGGCTTTGGAACTTGGACCTTCTCCGCCTCGTTTCCGACATTCCCTAGCTCCTGGTATTGTGTCGACGACGGCAGTGCTGCTCCCCAGTTCGATTTTCCTTGGAGTGCGCGTGGACGGTTCACTGGGAATACTGTTGCGCTGGATCGTCTGGAGCTTGGTGCCGACAAGCTAAACTCATATTTTCGAGTGACTGATTTCGCTCGGAATGACGAAGTTGCTCAGTGGATCATCGGGCAAGCCGTTCCAGTGTGTATGGCTTCCGCGATCGCCAAGTTGTGGTACCTAGAACGAGCCGGAGCTTCTGAATCCTACCACTCGTGTCTGCGCAATGGAGTCAGGATGTCAGGGGGTCCCTCTTCGGGTCTTCCAAGAGCTAGGGCATTGCCCACAGGGGTGTGTGTGTTCCGCCCGCATCTGTGAATATGCGACATGCTCGCGGGTTTACTGCGACTACGACGCCAATGCCTAGGATTTGGACTATTACATGCACCTGGGATTCGTATGCTTCTGAAGAAATTCCCACGAGTAAGGTGCGAGCACGAGACCTGTCGCACAGCATGATAATCCGAGGACGATGATTGGCCCCGTGCCGGATCCGGGGGCGGGGAGCCATGTGATTCTCGGACCTACATAACTGGCTCGTGACGACACCCAGGCTTGACCAATTCCACCCAACCCCCCTCGACACCGACTGCCACGATGAGCGCGCCCAAGAAAGAGCTGAAGGAGTTCACGCCCGAGGAGATTGCTAAACACAACAAGAGCGGCGACCTCTGGACCATCATCGACGGCAAAGTCTACGACCTCTCCAGGTTCCAGAATCTCCACCCTGGCGGCCTCGCTGCCCTGCTCGACCCCGACGTCGCTGGCCAGGACGCAACAGAGATATTCTACGGTCTCCATCGTCACGAGGTTCTCCAGAAGCCGCAATACGCCCGTCTCCAAATCGGCACCGTCAAGGGCGAGCTCTCGCTCATCGAGTCGCGCGAACCGGGCCAGATTTCGGGCGTGCCGTACGCTGAGCCGACCTGGCTCCAGAAGGGCTACTACAGCCCGTACTACACCGACAAGCACCGCGAGTTCCAGCTCGTCGTCCGCAAGTTCATCGACGAGGTCGTCTACGAGGACGCCCAGGCTCGCGAGGAGGACGGCAAGCGCGTCAGCCAGGAGGTGCTCGACAAGATGGCCGACGTCGAAATGCACGCCATGCGTCTGGGCCCTGGCAAGCATCTCAAGGGTCGCACGCTCATGGGCGGTCTCGTCAAACCGGAGGAGGTAAGAACGATTCTTCAAATATGTTCTCAGGCTTACACTTGCGCCAGTTCGACTACTTCCACGAGCTCATCATCACCCAAGAGCTTACGCGCGTCGGTGCGCGCGGCTACGGCGACGGTCTGCTCGGCGGCATGGTCATCGGTCTCCCGCCCGTGCTCAACTTTGGCAGCAAGGAGCTCCAGGAACGCATCGTGCCCGACATCCTCAAAGGCAAGAAGTTCATCTCGCTCGCCATCTCCGAGGCGTACGCCGGCAGCGACGTGTCCAACCTCAAGACGACCGCCGTCAAGAGCGAGGACGGCAAGTTCTGGATCGTCAACGGCAGCAAGAAGTGGATCACGAACGGCACGTTCTCCGACTAGTGAGTTTCCCTGTAAATCCTGACGGCGCGCTGATCTCGCTGTGACAGCTTCACGACTGGTGTGCGCACAGACGGTGGATTGACCGTTCTGCTCATTGAGCGCGGCGAGGGCGTCGAGACGAAGCAGATCAAGACGTCGTACTCGACGACCGCAGGCACAGCCTACATCACGTTCGACAACGTCAAGGTGCCCGTCGAGAACACTCTCGGCCCGGAGAATGACGGCTTGCGCGTTATCCTCAGCAGTACGTCGCGCCACGAGCCACGCTTCTGCAGCTACTGATACTTTCGCTTCAGACTTTAACCACGAGCGTTGGGTCATGTGCTGTGCGAGCGCACGCAGCCAGCGTCTAGTCATCGAGGAGTGTTTGACATGGGCGAACCAGCGCCAGGTCAGCGCCCGGACGTTGCGCAAGGCTGTTCGCTAACGCCCGTCGCAGGTCTTTGGCAAGCCGCTGATAGCCCAGGCCGTCATCCGCAACAAACTCGCGCAGATGATTGCACGGACCGAGGCGGGGCACAACTGGCTCGAGAACGTGACGCACCAGATGAACAACATGGTACGTTCGTGCGCTTTGCATTTAACATTTCCCTAATCCTCGTTCCTCTGCAGTCGTATAAGGAGATGTCGGCGAAGCTCGCGGGACAGATCGCATTCTTGAAGATGTATCTCACGCAGAACGCGCAGGACACCGCACGCGACGCGGTACAGATCTTCGGTGGACGCGGCACGACGCGGACGGGTATGGGCCGCTTCATCGAGCACTACCACCGTACGATCACCTTTGATTCGCTGCTTGGCGGTGCGGAGGACGTGCTGGGCGACCTTGGTGTAAGGCAGGCGATCCGGAAGATCCCTGCAGGCGCGCGGTTGTAGGTCATCGAAACGGGGTCGTGCTGTTGTTATAATCCGTCATCGCATGTGGGCATTTTTCTTGCATGTGTATACCTTGCCGTACCGTAACGTAGCGTCTGCAAATGTTTATAGTTTTACTGTACGAGTACTGTAAGTCTGTAACCAGGCAGAGTCAAGTCCTAAGTCCATAAATGGACCCATCAGTTGCAGTGCATGGATGCAATTCTCCTCGCATCTGAGCCTCTAACGTCAAGTCCACATTCTGCGCGCAGCAGACAGCACGGTGTCCCGGCAACCGCTGACGAGGAGATAGTGACTGCGGCTGGGAAGGTTCCCCGGCGGCATTGGATACGAAACAACATCCGAATACTTTCCACTGGATGCTCTGCATTTGCTATATGCTGAAGTCTCTACATGTATCACCTTTTACAAATCCATAGTATTTCTCTCTGCGCTGGGCGGTACAAGACCCTCCCGCGCACTTCCCGAGTCGGAGAGCCCTGCACAGTTGTGCCGAAAATCATCGTATGTTTGGATGAGATCGGGTATCAGAGTCAGCGTTCTGCGGCCACCGTAACTCGTGAAATTTAGTCAGTACTTATCTTGTAACGAATGAAGGTTTGTCTTGAACTTCGGGTCAACTGGTTCGGCACGCCGGATGCATTGCGATTTCGGCGGCTCTGGCCTTTTGGCTTAGATCAAGTGCGATTTCGGCGGCCGCACATCGCGGCAGCTTTAGCACGGGCATCCATAAAAAGAAACCCGCATCATCTGGGCCAGTTTCCCCACACCGCAGCTTCGACTCCTCATGGGCGTCATAGATCTCGAGCACTTCGCGCTCGACGCGCACTGGCGGCAGATTCTCGTCGCTGGAGTCGCGTCGTGGGTCGCGTACAAGGTCTCGACGAACGCGTATTGGCTGTGGCGCCGGTCGCGCTCGCCGCTTAGGGACCTTCCTGGCCCGCGCGCAGGCTGGACGCTGCTCTTCGGGCACGTCCGCACCATGATGCAGTGCACGAACAACAGCGTGCAGGAAGCGTGGGCGGGCGAATACGGCTCGGCCTTCTCGTTCCGTAGCATGCTCGGTGTACGATGGCGCATCCTATCGCCCCAACCAACGCTGTACTCATGTCCGTCCGCAGGGCTACCAACTGATTACGACGGACCCGCGCGCCAACACCCACATTCTCTTCGCTTCGCATATTTTCCAGAAACCCGCGATAAGCCGGCGTGCAATCTCGCGCTTCCTTGGGAAAGGTGCGTACGCCCGTGACCTGGTGTAAGCTGGTAGTCACTGATCACTCTATCTCCAGGAATCCTGTTTACCGAAGGTTCGAGACTTTCCTCTTCCGCGGAACAGATCGCTCACAACACTCCTAGGCGAGCAGCACAGAGACCAGGTACGGCGAGTGCGTTGAGTAATGCGACGCATAGCTAATGCACGAACAGCGTCGCATCCTCAATCCGGCATTCGGCTTCGCGCATGTGCGCGACATGACCGACATCTTCCTTGACAAGGGAGCGCAGGTACGTGCATGCTCCGACATACAGTATGTTCAACTACTGACGCTCTCATCTCAGCTGCGAGACATATGGCTCAACAAGTGTGTCGAGGCTGGCGGGAGTGTCCAGATCGACGCTATGGAGTGGATGTCGAAGGCTACACTGGACGCGATTGGAAAAGCAGGCACGTATTGGTCCACTCACGTCGATAGGTAGTGCCTCTAACTCGGGTCAAGGCTTCGATTACGAGTTCGGTACCTTGAACGAGACTGGGGAGACGAACGAGCTTGCCCTAGCTTTTGAGAGAATATTCCGTACCGACATGAAGCCTCACGAGCAGCGGCGCATGCTTCTCAACAACGCCATTCCTCTCCTGCGCTGGCTTGCGGTATGCTCCTTAGAATATGTTCATATACAGTCGTTGACGATTCGTGTAGCCCAGCAAGCGCGGTCGTCTGGTAGCCGCGTCCAAGAAGACTATGGATACGATAGGGATGAAGATCGTGAAGGAGAAGAAGGCCGCGATTCTAGCCG